TCAAAACATCCCCATCCCCAGGGGGAAGCCACAGCATTTTCTGAACCGACCAAGGTGTCCCAGGAGGCTCCACATCACCATCTCACTGTTCCATGTCCATAAGCATGGCTGGATGGCTGAGAGTCCTTTGCTCCCAGAGCAGCACCAGCAGCTTGGTTCCCACATGTCTGCCTAGATAACTGCTTCCACAAGAAAACTGAGAACATCTAAAGTTACCACTTTTCCTGCTGTGACCCTCAGGGTATTTCAGCACCAGGTTGCACAGCTATTTGGTGTTCCCAGGCTGAGCAACACAATTTAATGCTTTCAGACCTTTGGCAGTTTCCAGCCCATTTCCCTGTTTGTTTTGGTCTCCAACTGCTGCAGCAAGCTGCTGCGAGCCAAGCTCTCCCAGTCAGGAGCCCCTGACCTGCTCAGCCTCAGCTGCATGGGGTTTCTGGAGGGTCAGAGGATGCACATTGCAATGATGGCTCTTTCCCATTGCAGTGATGCTTCCTTCACGCACTGTATGGTAGTTTCAAAGATGTAGTCTGTTCTGACAATCCAACCCAACGCTTCATCTCTGTGGGCCGTGCCCTGTCCCTTATCCCTTCTTTCTCCATGCATGCATGGGGATTTGCTGACTGTGGTGATATACCAGCATTTGAACAGCAAAATACTCCCAGTTTGTGCTGGCAACATTTCAGAAGGGATATAAACCTCTGTAGTCCAGCACTTACACAGATCTGTTCATACTAGCAACCAGGGCATTGGGAGGCAAGCTAAACTATTCTCATAACCAACCAGAATTAAAAAAATGGCAAAGTGTGGTGTGTTAGCATCAGTCCCCCTTCAGTAGCCATTCAAAAAGCAGAGGGCTAACTACCTATTTGCTGCAATCTTCCGTTTTTCATACAGTGGGTCTGTCCAAGTGACGAGCACAGACTGAGAGGACATAACTCGAACAGTTATGTCTTGTGCCACCTCCACCTCTTCCTCCTCTGAAATGGCAAAACAAAACAGCATATCAATAACAACATCAAACAGTAACTGTCTTCAACTTATATTCTATAGAATCATAGAATCACAGAATCAACCAGGTTGGAAGAGACCTCAAAGATCATTGAGTCCAACCCTACTGTCGTTACTAGACCATGGCACTAAGTGCCACATCCAGTCTCATCTTGAAAACCTCCAGGAATGGTGAATCCACCACCTCCTTGGGCAGCCCATTCCAATGCCTCATAACTCTCTTC